AGCTTTGGAGAATTTGATTAGTTGGTCAAAGTCAAGAACAAAGGAACTTTCAAATTTCACATTTAATGTTTTTGGAATTTGTTTTTGACCACATGAATGTTTGTGGTTTCTTTATTTATTTATTTTTTATCTTTTTGTAGCCTATAAATAGGCAAAGAAATCAGATTATCAAAAATATATATGAGTTTTCTTTGAGTGTCACTTTTAGTGAGTTTGAGCTTTTAGCTCATGGTTCTTTTTGGAACCTTTGAACTTATCGAATGGAGTGATTCCGTTCGTGGCGTTCATCCCGACTTATCAAACGCTAGCTCATAAGCATTTGTGGCGCCTCCGCGATACCGATATTTCTAGTCCAGGTTTGATAGGGGTTTAGGACGGTTCGTTAGAATGTCTGGGCCTAGGTTTCTATCATTATTTTGGTAGGGGTTTAGGAAGGTTCTTTGGAATGTCTGGGCCTAGGTTTCGATCACGAGTTGATTTTGAAATTTTGGTTGGTTCCATCGCCTAATTAGAGAATTTTGATCCGAGATCGTATCAGGAGTGGAAAACATGGAATACGGAACATCGCGGGCGAACCGGGAACATTTGGAGTGTCTCCAGGGAAAACGTGAAGCTCAGAAAACGTCAAATCTTGCAAGTCCAATAACTTTCACTCTACAAGTCCAAATCATGCATTCTCTACGTCATTGGAAAGCTCTCTTCGATATCTACGTATAGACGCCAAGATCACCCAAATATGATGTCGGAGCAGGAAGTTATGAGCAAATCTGTGAAGCCCACCAAAACTGTTAAGTGACACGATCGTGTCACTTTCAGTCACACGATCGGGTCACTTACCAGATTTTGGAAATATTCTGAATTTTGGCCCAGAAAAAGAAGGATTAAGTAGGGTTAGCCCCCAAGGTCAAAAACATTCAGGCTTTTCACAGAAAACACACCTTAGAGCACACAAAAGGGGGCGATTATCAAGAGGCAAGGGATCGGAGTAGAAGACGGAGATTACGAAGCCGGAAATCGACTAAGCATTCTTTCTTTCTTCTATTTTACGATGTTTTGTATTATTGATATGAACCCTGACGTCTCGATGTTTAGCGAGTAATTCCTTTGTTGTAGGTTAGGGATTTGCTATGTAGGGATCTTTGGTTCATAATTCCAGACTTTGTGGTTTTATTTATTCTATTCAGTTTATTGAGTTGCGTTTAATGCGTTTGATCTTGTTGGCCACTTGATTGAATGAATTTAGGGTTTTAATTCGCATAGACATATGGGATTCTAACATGGAAATAACCCAATAAGTAGAACAGATATTGCATTGAGAGATGAATATTTGCCTAGGGATTATGATAGCGTTCGTTCATGCATCCAGGGTTTTAGACTATTGAATCGAGAGATCAGTAGGATAAAGCCTGGATAGTGAGGTTAGACTCGAGAGGGTTAATCTCTACTTTAGAGCTTGAATTCCCTGAATCGGATAGATAAACCACTGAGTTTTCATCTTTTGAAAGACCCTTGCATATAAAGCAATCCCGAAGCCTGCAGTATTTTGCCATTGATAGTTTGTCATTTGTTTTATTATTTACTTTTGACACATTCTCATCATTCATACTATTCTTTAGATCTATTCCTGATAGGAGTTTGATTCAGTTGTCTACTTTTGTCCATGTGTTCGATCCTAGCGACTACATACGATCCGTACACTTGCGGTATTTGTTGGATCTAGGATTTTATTACTTGACCAAATTTATTCACCTAGATTTGCGACATCAACAATCTCATGCGGGTCATCCAGTATTCCGTTCTCCAACGAATACCTATGACTGTGATCGTATCCAATACCTATGATCATATATATGATCATCAATCACACATCATACTAGTCTTGGTATATCATTATTCCCACAATGATATATGAGCAGGGAGTTTAGTACTGTTCATAACAATACATGGATTTCATAACATATCAAGTATGCACAATATGTAATGAATCAAACACTCAACCATAAGCTCATAGAAAGTGTCAATACATCAAATGTATCATAAGAAAGCTCATACACCAGTTCATCATAGAGCACTAAACCAACACTCTCGTAGATTTGGTTCCGGCTTTCCAAGAAGTATGCCTTGTTGTCTAGAAGGTTGTGACGCAAGCTGTGCTATACGCGTATCTATGAGCTTCATGTGTGCGTCCATCCCGTCAAGTCTCCTCTCAAAGGTGTCTTGCCTAGCTCTAATGCTCTGCACCTCAGTTTTCAGCTCAGTAAATGACGTCTTTTGGTCGAGCATTAGTTGGGTAAGCATCGTCTTGATGTCTGCTTCTTCATTCTTTGCCGGTGGAGGAGCTCGGTAGCCCTGATTCTGCTGCCCGTAGCCTGGATTCTATTGCGCATATCCCTGATTCTGTCCCTGAAAGCGTGACTGAGTGAAGCCCGGGGGATTCTGAGGGATTCTGGAAACGCCCTGCTGCTTTGCATTCAATGCTCCACTCGGGTTTCCGTAGGAGAAACTAGGATGGTTCCTAGGCGCGTTCGGGTTGTAGAGATTGGAAGGATTCTGATATTGATTCCTTCCTATGTAGTTGACGTCCTCAACCGGTTCTTCCTCTGATGTGGTCTGATCAACCAGAAACATACCAGGCTGGACTTTCTGCGGGTTAGGTGTATTCTTGAGTCTCAAGTGCTGCTTGATTGCCGATAAATAAGACATGACCGCTTTCAAAGCAGCGGACTCGCCCAAATCTACCCGTCCTGTAGAGCGTCTGATGCTATCTCCTGACATCCCTCTTGCTTTAGCCATTTTCGCAATCTGCATCTCTAGGGTGTCAAAGGGAATGTCATATACACTCCCTCCACAAGCTGCATCCATCCATGCTCTAGTATCGTCTCTCAGTCCGTGGATAAACGTGGAAAGCAACAGCCGCTTATCCATGTCGTGGTGTGGACAAAGGCGTTGATAGCCTTTGAATCTCTCCCATGCATCGTATAGACTCTCATCACTCTCCTGAGTGAAGCTGTGTATGGCTCTCTGTGCAGCTTGTGTCTTCTCTGGGGAGTAGTATTTCGCCATGAATTGCTCCTCTAGCTCCTCCCATGTCGTAATCGAGTTTGGCTCAAGAGTGTAGAGTCAATCTCTTGCCCGGTCCATCAGTGAAAAAGGAAAAGCCTCCAAATATACATCCTCGATGGTCATTCCTCGTGGCTTCCTAACTGATCTGTACAACATCTTAAACTGAGTCAAGTGAGCAATGGGATCCTCTGTAGGCCACCCTCTGAAACTCGCCTGACTGAACATCGTGATGCATGATAACGTGTATTTTGGTGATATTTTGGTATACGATGTCTAGCGCATTTTACTCGGTTTTGCATATTTATAGGCATTCTAGAGTATATTTGGTCTCGATATTGCTTGGTTGCTTTCTTTGGTGTCAAAATAGGTATTCATGCATAAAAGAAGCAAAAGGAGTGGAAAACATGGACTACGGAAGATCACAGACGAAACGGGAACATTTGGAGTTGTTCCGGGGAAAAACATGAAGCCTAAAAAGTCAAATCTTGAAAGCCCAATAACTTCTACTCTATAAATCCAAATTGCGTTCTCTACCTCATTGGAAAGCTCTCTTCAATATCTATGTATAGACACTAATTCGCAACAATCCGACATTGGAGCAGAAAGTTATGAGCAAATCTGTCAAACATGTTCGAGTTGAAGAATCGACACGGACCATGTTGCATTCAACACGGCCGTGTTGTGTCCGTGCTGAAAAAAGTGAAGTTTTGCTCAGAGAATTGACATGGACCGTGTTGTCATTCGACACGGCTGTGTTGATTCAAACACGCCCGTGTTCAGCCCATGTCTAAAATGCATATTTTTAACAGAGAATTGACACGGACCGTGTTGCATTCGACACGGCCGTGTTGCATTACGGAAAAACTTCCTATTTTGCATCTGAACTTCCATTTTCAGCAAAGGAAGAAGCCCAGCTGCCAAGCAAATAAATAGGAGACATCTTGGGCTTCAGAAATCATCGAGAGATCACAGGAGAATCCAGAGAACTCGAGAGAGAATCAAGACGGAGTTTTCCGGGAGCAGAGATTGAAGAATCGTCGTGAGAGATCGTTGCGAGTCTTCTTTATCTGTTTCTATGTTTCTTCTTATTGATTTGAACTCGTTTGTTGTTATGGGTAGTGAGTAGTCGTTTCACTGTAGTTAGAGATTTAACCTTGTAGGGATTTGTTTGGTTTTTATTTTCCAAGACTACGTTATCGATACTCGGCGGTTTAATTGAATTAGGTTTAATTCTTTTGATCTTCTTGGCCTGTTTATTGATTGATCTTAGATTCTGATTGACAACGAGAGGTGGAATTAGATTCGGAAAGAATTCATTGAATGAATTGATTAAGACTATTGAGAGATAGGTTAATCGGTTTAGAAACTGTGATAGTGATTGTTAATGCATTCGATATTTTAATCTATTAGGTTGAGAGATCGATAGGTTAAATTATTGGATAGTGGATTTAGGACTTGAGAGAGCCAAATCTGATATTAGAACTTGAGATCCCCGATTAGAGTTCGATATTCGTAGATTCTCCATCCTTAGAAACAATCCCTGCGCGTTAAGGTTATCCCGAAGTTACGGTGATTTATCTATCTGATTTTACTTAGTTAGTTTATTGCTCTATTTTCGATATTCACATACTTAATTCCATATTTCCTGCTCTAATTCTTGGTTGAGTCTTGTTCCTAGAGTTAACTATTCACTGTGTTCGACCCTGTTACTACAGTTGATCCGTATCCTTGCGGTATTCGTTGTATCTAGGTTTTTATCACTTGAGAATTATTTCTATACCTAGATTTGCGTTATCAAGTTTTTGGCGCCGTTGCAGGGGAATAGATTAGTGCTAGGATAAAGATTTCTTTGAACCTAGATTTTTTCTTCTTTTCTTTTTCTTTTCCCTAGATTTCTTGATCTATTCTTTGTGTTTGTTCTACTTTCTGCTGTGCAGGATTCCGGTGTATGAACAGGAGTTCTGGGCCTGACAACCTAGTACCTCTTCACCCTGAAATCGAGAACTCCACTAAGTGCAATCGAAAGAAGAAACGACAGCAAAGAAAGATGGAGGAACGTGTTATAGTTGCAGAGAATAACAATGACACTTATGGGGCATACCTTCAGCCTAAGTACATTCAACAGCTTTCATGCATTTGCCGGCCTGACATCGACCATAACAATTTTGAGTTTCAACCGGCATTCATCAATATGCTGAGACCAACAGATTTTTCTCTACTAGGTACACCTCATTTCTCAAACTCATTTTGTTGTAGAGATGCTCTTAAACTTCATGATCCAGGTTGGCAGAAGGTCGATAATCTTCGCTCGTTAGATCTATCTGGTAGTTGAGAGAGTTTGGTCAAGCTAAAGACCCTAAACAAGCGCTCCTGGGAGGCAACCCGAGTTTGTAGGTTAGTTTTTCTTTTCTTTCTTTTTCTTTTTGCATCGGATATTGGTTTGTCTCTTATCACCAGGTTGAGTTCTAATGAGAAGCTATTGAGGAGGCGAGGAAGCTAGCTATGCGATAGACGTAGGCAGACTTAAGTGCGAGTGAACGAACATCGCGAGCTAAATATTCTTTTCCCTTTTTGACTTGCTTCTCTTTTGACTTATCTTATTGGTTGCCTCTATTAGACGAGATTTGACACCGAGGACGATGTTTAGTTTAAGTCTGGGGGAGGATTCGTCTAACGCCAAACTATATCTATTTAGAGTAGTGTTGCATGCATTTTTTGATTTTTTTTTCACTTTTTAGTTGCATGTGCATATAGGATGCATTAGGATCATATAGTTTGTTGTTAGGATTGTGCATTCTCATATTGTGTTTAGGACATATAAGATCACGTGCATAAAACCGTTTTGAACATTGATATGATGACCTAAGATATGAGAGAGTAAAAACGTCCTGAAAACATTATGATCCGTTGAACATGGTTATGTTTTGTTGAATTGATTGCTTGACCTTTAGGATTTTCTAGAATGGCTTGTGGGATAGAAATCGTTGGTTGGAACTCATGGGACCGATGTTGTCTAGCCAAGTAGAAAAGTTTCTATAAGAACCTTTCCCATGTTTGCTGAAATCGTTAAAATCTATTACCAAATGCATTCTTATTTCTTTATGTGCAGAAAAAGATAGTGAGCATCTCGACACTCCGCTGTCATTATCTCGTCAACGAAAATCGTTCGAGGACATGAGTGCATCGATTTGATGGTTCGGGTCTAAGTTGTGGGTCGGGATATCCAATAAACAAAATCGAAAAAAAAATTTGATTAGGAACCCTTCAACTTCAACGTCCTAGGAACCCGAGATGCTAGCAAAAGGAAAAAAAAATATAGCTAGATGAAAGAAAAAAAAAGAAGAAGAAAAAAATGAATAGCGAAAGCGTAGACTAGATACGATTATGTAGAATGGCATGATAGATTCGAGAAACATGCTTGGTAGATGATTGAAGTTCTTGGGTTGGTTCTTGATAGCGGTATAGATCCCATAGTTAGGAAAGATTATCCTTTGAGGAAGATCATACTAGACAAACTTGATCATTGTTCACGGGGATCAAGGTCGGATAGAGGTCGCTCTCGATTATCATTTTGAGTTATGTCATTGCCTCGCCCTCCTTTCACACCGTTTTTCATGGAGTATTTGCTCGAGGACGAGTAAAGGTTTAAGTTTGGGGGAGTTTGATAACATATATTTTGGTGATATTTTAATATACGATGTCTAGTGCATTTTACTCAGTTTTGCATATTTATAGGTATTCTAGAGTACATTTGGTCTCGATATTGCTTGGTTGCTTTCTTTGGTGTCAAAACAGGTATTCATGCATAAAAGAGAGCAAAAGGAGTGGAAAACATGAACTACGGAACATCACAGACGAAACGGGAACATTTGGAGTTGTTCCGGGAAAAAACACGAAGCTTAAAAAGTCAGATCTTGAAAGCCCAATAACTTCCACTCTACAAATCCAAATTATGCGTTCTCTACCTCATTGGAAAGCTCTTCAATATCTACGTATAGAAACCAAGATCGCACAAATCCGACATTGGAGCAGAAAGTTATGAACAAATCTGTCAAACATGTTCGAGTTGAAGAATCGACACAGACCGTGTTGCATTCAACACGGCCGTGTTGTATCCGTGCTGAAAAAAGTGAAGTTTTGCTCAAAGAATTGACACGGACCGAGTTGTCATTCGACACGGCCGTGTTGATTCAAACTCGCCCGTGTTCACCCCATGTCTAAAGTACAGATTTTTAGCAGAGAATTGACACGGACCGTGTTGCATTCGACACAGCCGTGTTGCATTATGGGAAAACTTCCTATTTTGCATCTGAACTTCCATTTTCAGCAAAGGAAGAAGCCCAGCTGCCAAGCAAATAAATAGGAGACGTCTTGGGCTTCAGAAGTCATCGAGAGATCACAGGAGAAGTCAGAGAACTCGAGAGAGAATCAAGACGGAGTTTTCCGGGAGCAGAGATTGAAGAATCGTCGTCGAGAGATCGCTGCGAGTCTTCTTTATCTGTTTCTATGTTTCTTCTTATTGATTTGAACTCGTTTGTTGTTATGGTTAGTGAGTAGTCGTTTCACTGTAGTTAGGGATTTAACCTTGTAGGGATTTGTTTGGTTTTTATTTTCCGAGACTACGTTATCGATACTCAGCGGTTTAATTGAATTGGGTTTAATTCTTTTGATCTTCTTGGCCTGTTGATTGATTGATCTTAGATTCTGATTGACAACGAGAGTTGGAATTAGATTCGGAAAGAATTCATTGAATGAATTGATTAAGACTATTGAGAGATAGGTTAATCGGTTTAGAAACTGTGATAGTGATTGTTAATGCGTTCGATATTTTAATCTATTATGTTGAGAGATCGGTAGGTTAAATTATTGGATAGTGGATTTAGGACTTAAGAGAGCCAAATCTGATATTAGAACTTGAGATCCCCGATTAGAGTTCGATATTCGTAGATTCTCCATCCTTAGAAACAATCCTTGCGCGTTAAGGTTATCCCGAAGTTACGGTGATTTATCTATCTGATTTTACTTAGTTAGTTTATTGCTCTATTTTCGATATTCACATACTTAATTCCATATTTTCTGCTCTAATTCTTGGTTGAGTCTTGTTCCTAGAGTTAACTATTCCCTGTGTTCGACCCTGGTACTACAGTTGATCCGTATCCTTGCGGTATTCGCTGTATCTAGGTTTTTATCACTTGAGCATTATTTCTACTTAGATTTGCGTTATCTCTCGAACATCGTGATGCACTGTGGTGGTAGCTCGAAACTGTCTATGGGCGGTCGATTGATGGATGATAGGAGTTGGGTGTGCTTCGGTGTAATGTAAGAACCCAAAGTCTCCTCTGCAACGTTTGTAGCATCGCCCTCGGTCTACTGATCGTAGAGCGGATTCATGTGCTCTTGGTTCATGTGGTTCTGATTCTCGTGGTGCTCCTCATCATGAACCTCACGCTCTTGTTGATGGTTGTGCGAACTACTCGACCTCGACCTAGCTTCTCTTCTCTGCTGATTTCGGATGTCTCTCAGAGTACGCTCAATTTCCGGATCGTAGACTAGGTCTTCTTTCCGAGTAGAGCTCATTGTCATGCACTAGAACCCTGCAAACCGCAAAGAAAAAGAAGAACTCGAGACCAAGTAAATCCACAAAAACCCAAGAAAAACAAAAAGAAAAAGAAAACAAGCAAAGATCTAGAATCAATAAAGACCTAGAAATAAAATCTATAACCCGATTCACAACTCACCGCAAGGATACGGATCGTCGTAACAGGGGGTCGAACACGAGGACGGGTAGCTAAATCTAAACCCTAATCGAAACTAAAGCAAAGCAAGCAAGTGAAAGTGATGGTGGAAGTATGTGGAATCTAAAATAACTAAAATAAGAAAGCAAATAAAAACGTGTAAACTATCAAGCAAAGATGACCGTGGGTGTCGGGACCGTATTCGCGTGTATGGGTATATGCTAAGCATGCGAGAATCACGATATTGAATCTGTATTCGGGAATCGTCAAGCAACAAAAATAGAGAAATCACCTCCCGGCATATAACTCACTATCTAAAGTTCTCTAAATCCATATCCCTATGTGATTTATCAAACTAGATGCATGAAGAACACTATCATCAATCCTAGATCGATCAAACCATATTCCTATGTGAATAATACAATCTATTCTATCGATTTCGATCCGAACTCATGCACTCTATGCAACATGAAACATGCAATCTACACTAGATTCAATCATCAAACATGCATAGAAATCAAAGCAAACATAGATTCAAACAATTCAAATCCTAAAACGTGCGTGATCGGGTTCTACGAAATCAAAACAGAGCAACCAGGCTCTGATACCACTGTTGGGTTTCCTGGGATCTCTAGAGCGAATCCTATTCCTAAGAGATCGATTCTAGGGTTTGCGCAGTGGATATAATATTGAAAAATAAAATGCGGAAATTAAAAAGAGAGAATAGAAGAGAAAAATAAAATAAAGAACACTTTTATTACTACATCTCTTCTTCTTGTTATATTACAATGAAAATGAAGTACTGCACTCTATGCAACATGAAACATGCAATCTACACTAGATTCAATCATCAAACATGCATAGAAATCAAAGCAAACATAGATTCAAACAATTCAAATCCTAAAACGTGCGTGATCGGGTTCTACGAAATCAAAACAGAGCAACCAGGCTCTGATACCACTGTTGGGTTTCCTGGGATCTCTAGAGCGAATCCTATTCCTAAGAGATCGATTCTAGGGTTTGCGCAGTGGATATAATATTGAAAAATAAAATGCGGAAATTAAAAAGAGAGAATAGAAGAGAAAAATAAAATAAAGAACACTTTTATTACTACATCTCTTCTTCTTGTTATATTACAATGAAAATGAAGTACATATTTATAGGAAAATTAAGAAACGAAGTAAAAAAGGAAATATAGATACAATGGAAACAAATCAGATACACAATATTCGACATAATGATATTGTATCCATTATTATTCTCCATCATATCTCAAATCTTATTTTACTTCCATCACATATTCATTTTTCCATTTTAACATTCCCCCTCAAGATTGACTTTGAAAGAATGAAAAAGTCAATCTTGAATTGATAATGCTATAAATCGTCTATACATTTTCATTGTCTCTGGAAAAATTCATAAACACCAAATTTTGTTCTTTTAGAAAGCATTAACCATTTTCAAATCACTTCGCTTGACTTTAAAGTTCTAGCTTTAACTCTTTTTATCATAGCATCTTGCTTGATTTTAGAGTTCTTAGCTTTGAC